TCTGCAAATCAAGAAGGGTCTAGAGAGGATCAAAATACTTGCAGCACCATATCACCACTCAATAAAAAATCAGCAAACAAGAGTAATTAAATGGAGAGCAATGAATTTTAACATTTCTTTAGGGTACACAAATAAACACAATTCAAAGCTTATAGCTGATAAGTCAAACTCTGCTGTCCTACTTTAACAACCTGTGTACAATATACAGCAGACCACCAACTTGTTTTACAGAATTTAAACTTCAACCACTGCTTATCACACCTTGAATGAGCAACACAGAAGGGCTGGAAAAAGAAGTGACTGCTGTCCCCATGCTACAACACTTTTGTTCTAACTGGCCTTGCTCATCCTCTGACACCACCATTTCTGAATGCACACACCTGAGCAGGAACAACTTTTCCATACAAACTGAGTGTACTGGTTCAAGTAGAAAATCCTCACAGCACCCGCAGTCACATGAGCCAGAAACAAGCCACCATCTGAGAGGAAGAGGAGATGCTTCTGCATGTTAAGCAGCATTTGGCATCTGCAGCCCTAGACAAGGCAGCACGGCAATCATGGCAGGCACAGAGGCCAGCTCTCCATTTCAAGTTGTGTGTACTTATCTGCACCACACTGCTTTCTCTCCACACAGAGGCTTCTGTGCCTATTTTCTAAACAGCTGTTGTTCTCCAGAGCTGTAAAACAATCACTCTCTTGAAAGTAAACAAAAATTATGGACCTTTTGAGATGGGTCAAACAAACACCCTGGCCTCAAATACAGGGTAGAAATGGTGACTAACAGTGCATTTAAGAAAAACGTTTTAACATAGTAATTATATGTGACAAGACAGAAGGAGTCCTTTCTTTCAGTAACTGCCATTTGCTTATTTTTTAAGAAGATAATTAAAGTGGCATGCTAAAACAAAATGCTTAAAAATTAAACCAAAGCCATTCTTTTTTCACTGAGATGCATAGAATGGTAAAGAAAAAGAATTATTTCAATCACTTCCTTAGTAATACACGTAATATTTAAATAGATTTAATAGGGCTGCTCCAAACCAATGAATTATGAGTTTAAAACCTATTAAAATGTAATGTTTTTTTCCTTAGCTGAGGGGAGAGAGATTTAAATTCACTGAATTTTAATATTTCAGCTTGAGCTGCAGGAGGTAGAGAAAGTCCAAATGAACTATTCCATCAGCACCATTCAAGCATGAACATTTTAATCAGTTTTACTTCCTTGGAGTTCTCCAACACAGTTTACGCTGTCATTCTGAAAGCACTTAACACAGAGGGTGTGAAAAACCACCAAGGCTTGTTATTGCCTTCACAATTGATGGCAAATAATTTTGCAGACTTCCTATCATTAAAATGTCACTGCTAGAAATTGAGGTTCAGCATTTCTTGTGCTAAACTGCATTTTCTTTGAACACCATCACATACCTGTTCTTAAGTTTTTGGTACATTTATCTCTCTCCATGTGATAAGCAGGCACATTTCATTTCTGCCTTACTACCCACATGCAGTTGAAAAACTACTATTTTAAAAAGACAAAATTCCTAAAAAGTTACAAGTCAATTCCCTGGTTCCCTTATTAAAATGTAACCATACTTACACAGCATGTTCCAATTGTATAGTATAATGGATTAGAGAAAACAAACCCCAACATTTTAAGGAAGTTAGATTACTCAATTTATTAATACAGGAAATGAAAACATCATTCCTAATTAGATCATATTACTGATTTAAGCCTATGATTTGAGCACTGTTCCAACAGTGCAATCTTGCAGATTCTAATGTAAAAAAACGGCAGCACGACACATGACAAGATCTACTGGATATATCACACTGCTCATCCTGGAACACCCTGCCTAGAAAGTAGCTCTGGATGTGCACTACAGACTGCCCTGAGCAAGAATGCTGCAACACACTGCCCATGGCAAGCACCAGAGGTAGACCCTGGCTGCCTGCAGATTTAACGTCCTCCAGCAGCATGCTTATGATATGCCTAGTTTTGGTTTAGTTTTTCTCACTGCATCTCTCCAGAAGATGATGGATGATATTTAACTTGTTTGAGCCCATCAGTAGTTTTAAACTGAACATGACCTGTGAAAGAAGTCATTATAACTCTGTTTCATTCCATTAAACATAACTAGTTTATTGTCAAGAGAACAGGCAGTCTCTCTGGGTTCTGGGCTCACTTCAGTATTTTGCATTTAAACTGCACGGATCAGTGATTTGGTTCATTTACCAATGAAGATAGAATAATATTGCAAAGTTAAAAGGTGCTTCATCAGATTCCATTAAATCAGAGCACATTCATACAAAAATATATACATGTGAAACACAAAGAGAGGTATGATCTGTGCACCTTCAATTCCTTCCTTGTGCCACACTCCATTCTGGTAGCATGCATTTTTAATTCAGCGCCAGAGTTGCTCTGTTCGAACAGAGAGAGTTGAGTGTGAGTGAGGTGAACCAAACAGGATGCCCGCAAAACAAAGAGAGACCTAAGCTACAATCTCATTTCAAAACCTCCAAATACTGCTTCTGTTTTTGTCTGATGCACAATGGGTTCAATGGGTTAAACAAACACTGGAATTTTTTAAAATACCATAGGGTTAAAAGAACACAAACTCTGTCAGACTTACTAAAAAGAAAAATAACATAGGACAACATAATTGGACACATAAAAAAACCCAGCTATGTTCTTTGTTTTATTTTTCTGGTATTCACTTTACAAATTATGAATTTTATTCACTTGACAAAGTAAGCCTAAGTAAGCCTTTTCTAGCCTCATGCTACATTTTCAGACTTTAAATCTCTCTAAGTGCAGACATAACACTGTTGTGAGATTCTTGCAACATGATCTTAAGCTTATTAGACAACTTGCGCTCCTGTTTATTCCATTTTAAAAAAATTAATCACTAAAAGACTGGATGAGATTACTTATCTATAAACCTAATGAGTACTCAATTTCAGTCTGTATTGCTCCTGTTTTTCTAAAATTAAAGAAGAACACACAGTATTTCCTAAGTCAACATAAAACAGCTGAGCAAAAAAAAGGCAGGTAAAAATCAGACGTGAGGGAGTCAAGGGCTGGCCGACTTTGATGCACAAAACCAAAGTCTGAGAGTTTAGAGAAGTTTCAGACAATAGAATTTCAGTTGACATGAAAAGATAAATTCAGACAGGAAAAGAAAATTTACTTCTGTCTGCTGGGGGGAAGACCAACAGAATTACTGACAGGCTGCCAGACAAGTGTCTCATCTGTTTATTTTTATTCTCTGTGGTTTAGTGGTTCATGAAAGCAGGACAAATTTAAATAACTAGTGTGATGGCCAGTATCTGTAACATCACACACTTTGTACTTGCTTCCTTTACTAGAAATCAAATTTCTTTTTGCAGTCTCTCTAATGGAAACAAAGGTGAATGGCAAAAACATGCACAGATAGACTGTGAAGTATGAGTATGCACATACAAAACCACACATGCTACATACATACACACACACGCTACAAATGCACATTGCAGCACACACGTATAAAAGAAACAAAGAAGCCAACCTTTAGCTACTTACTTTATGCAAAGAATGTTAATAAAAGGCAATATTTTTGGTTAGGTAATGAAAACTAATTGGGAAATTATTCATTTCCCACTCTCCTCACTGGAGCATAATAGACATACAACAAATGTTATTCATGATTCTACACGATGTGCTCTGATTCACCCCCTTCTTTCTAACGGGCACTTCAGAGGAAATAAGGGTTACTCTTTTCCATTTATAATTTCTAATTGACTACCAGTGCTTTCTTGTGGTCAGAGGTATACAAAATAGAGTTAGAAATAGCCTATTAAAAACAAGTTACAATCAGACCGCTGCTCTTAACTACTGTCAGCAATGATCAGAAAGTCCTGATTTCCTTGTTAAAAGACAGAGGCATAATTGAAGCCATATCTTCACTTCAGATTGATTATTCGGCGACCCTTATCCACATCTTCATTCAGCAATTTGAATTTTAATGAAAGTAAATGGAATAATTAGCATTTCAAAGTGTGTTTGATACACTGAATAAAAAAAGAAAAATACTTTTATGTTTAATCTATACACAAAAGAAAAAGCATTTGGGAGGATGCAGAAGATACAAAGTACAGTTGTAGAGTCTTCATTAGAATAACTAAAACAACTGCTTGCTTCAGCTGCATAATTATACAAGAGAATAATGTGTTATTAAGCTATGACTTCTCACCTTTATTTTATGTAGTGTGAACAGTGAGAGTTTTTGTTGTTATGTCTCTTCTCCAGTTATAAAATATAAACACTGTGGCTGCCCACACCTATAAAATCTCTGTACTGGGCTAACACCACTGTCAGCAAAGGCTTTACAAGAGGGGCTCCATGAACCTGTATTTATAGATGACTAAGAGCAGGACACCTATAAGCACAGTGGGGATTGAGTTTTTCTGCTGCCCATCTTGGTTGTATGTTTGGGTATTTTGGTTTTGGTGGGCGTCTTTTGGTTGGTTGGTTTGGTGCATGGGTGCTTTTTTGTTTTTTTAAAGTAACAGCTATTTTTTAATGTAAAAATAAAAAGTCTGGTTAATACTCAGAGTCTTGAACCAACACGCAGAAAAAGATGCGGACAGCAAGGATGGGGAAAAAAGTCTATCATCAAGGGTACCTGTTACCATGGCTGCAGAAGCAGACTGGCAGGTGGTATGCAAAGGAAACAATGTTACCTAAATAGAACAACAACAAAAAAACAGGAAAAAAACAAATACTGAGTCTGCTTTGGGGAATAGATACAACACAGACATTAATTACCCCATTAGTCTTCTTAGCACAGTGCAAGCAAAAGTCTTCAGGTAGTAACCAGCTTTTATGAAGGTCAAGCTACTGAACTTCACCACTGCCCACAACTTTTGCCCACCTGATGGATATGAGTTCATGCAAGAGAGAAAGAAAAAGAAAAGCTATTTACAAACACTATCAGAGCTAAAATGGAAAGACCACATACCCCAATGATTGCGTTCAGTTCTGCCATGGTCACTTGTTTGGCACGCTCCACAGCCTGCACCACTTGTTGCTGGTGCTATAAATGAAGATCAGAAACAGAATAAAATTATTTGTTTTCTAAATTACTAAGCACAAATTCTTACTTTTACTGTCTTTATTTGCTTTTCTAAGACATGCAAGATCTGAAGTAACTGTTCTCTAACAGTCACGTTGTGTGTTGATAAGCAAAAATATATAGGCAAGGGGAGGATTTTTATCTTTAAGCCATTACATGCTGGGGATTACACCTGTGCTTCCCAAAGAGCTCTTTCACAACCTGGCTAAATGGGAAACTGTCTTCCTCTTGTTCATCAGCACAGTGTGCTTTTGAATTTAAATGTCATCTTCAAATGTAAGCCTCTTTCCTTACAGCCGTGGAAGCTTTATGAATAAACCCCACCCAGTTTTGTGAAAATAAAGGTATCTTTTCAACAAGTACAAGGCAATCACATCACTGAAGAATATACAGATTCTCCTCCTAGATACATTTCAAAGCAGCCCAACCATGAAAAAAAAATTTAAAATGACATTCACAAATCTGTCAAACATGTGAAAGAGAACTAATTATTTCAATCTCCAACATGTAAATTTTAATAGCTTTTAAAGGTCCATCAAAAACACATGGTCTAATTAACAACACAGTTTACAAGCTCCAGTGGTTGTATCAGCTTGAGTGATACTATATTCCTGCACTAAATTCATTATTGCTGAAAGCTGACTGGTATTTATTTGAAAACATCAACTACAAACAAAATAAGGTTCTCATCTTGCAACCAGATCCATGGCTGTTCAGACCTCCACCAGTGACAAATTAATCTTCACGGGCAGCCTCGCAGAACCAGCATGACACAGAACAAATAGGTGCAAGGAGGGGTCATGGAGAACTGCAGTGTGATCTGCACTGAGAGTGAGACATCCTTGATTTACAGCCACAGTTTGAACAGAAAAAGGAGGGAGGTCCTGACAAGCTGGAGAGGTGCAGAAACTGTAACAATGAAACATCAGCTTTGCATCAGATGTTTACCAGCACAAAGTTTATGGGAAAGGTTGAGAAGGTCCCTTTAAAGTTTCAAGTTTGTCCTCCCATGGTTGTATGGCAGAAGGGAGCCAAGGTACAGACCATCTTGTACAGCAACTCCTCCTGTGCATCCTCAGCAGAAGCAAGAAATTTCATAAAATAAAACGAGGACCCAAATCCTCAAGACCACCTCCAACACAAGAGTTAGGTGAAGAGCATTGGGACGCCCCATGAAGCGCCCTAAGCCCACTGCAGGAGGGAATCAAAAGGGGCTGTAAAAAAAGGGTGCTGCTACTTCAGGGGCTTGGCAGGCCCAGATTTCACAATTCTCAGTGCAACACACAAACAAAAATGGCATTTTCACTTACAAGCCCTCTTGCATAAAACTTCTCAGGGCAAGGAAAAACAAACCTAAAAATCCACCCATAACTGTACGTCCTGGTTTTGGCCTGTACAGAGTTATTTTTACACAGCAGCCATGAGGTCTGGGTGTGTCTGGGTTGTTCTGTTCACTGCCTGTTGCCTATTCACTGCCTCAGGGCAAAAATAAGGGACTCTTGGTTGGGTTTCCAGAAGAAATGGCTTTTGGTCCAGGAAAGCATGGCAGCTGGAGGGTCTGTCTTTCATTGGTTTTTGGTCCTGGGCTTGGTGAGCAATTTTGCTTGCACATCAGCCTCTTTCTATAAATTTTTTTATTAGCATTGTTGCTGTTACTGTCTGTTTTCTTATCTCATGGCTGTTTCCAGTAATTTGTTCTTATCTCAAACCCTAACCTCTGACTTTTTTCTCCCTTGGAGGAAGGTGGTGGGGGAAGTGGTTGGATGGTTTTCTTCTTAGTGGGAACATTAAACTGGGGAGTGCCATTCCTAACCAACGGCACTAAGAAATTTTGATCCCAACTTAGAAAAACAGATAAATGCAAGTAATGAAGGTCATAATTTACAAATTCTCCTGGAAGGAAGAAAATGGTTCTAGTGTTTGTTTGTTTTTAAGCAAATGAAGGAAATGACTGGAGACCACTTAGAATACTGCTACTTTTCAGGTGTAAACAGAATCATAGAAGTTCCGTTCAGAGTTTCGTAAAACTACACTGCCAATATAAACCAAATCTATCCAATCTGTCTTATAAGAAGACAATGTAAAGCCTAAAAAGTAGGTTGAACATCAGCAAACAATGTTCTCGATATTCAAGAAAAAAAAATTTTAAATTAAAAATCCAGTGTACCCCTGCCACAGACACCAGAAAAAAGAGAAATTATGATATTCAAGCACCAAGTTCCTGATAATGGGTTATCAGCTCCAGGTTATCACTTATTAAGGATAGGTACAGCTTTCATCAATTACATAACTGCAAGCCTGGTGACCCATGACTCTGTATGTCAACAGGGCGATTATAAAAATTACACCACTATTTTCTGGTAGAAGTCATTCACACCATGGAATTTTTCATTAATTCATTGAAAAAAATCCCAAAAAAAACAAAGCAGAGGTTTTAAAATATTTACTTTTTAAAATAAAAGCATTTACTGAGAAGTTTATAGTCATCTTTTCTTTCCTACCACAGGCAATGCTTTTTTCACTGATGTAAAGAAAGCTCTTGTATATATGAATGTTCTACTCCAACATCAATTTACTAAAATCCTACTTCCAGGGGAGGAAATAACTTCTAAGGCCTCTACAAAAGCTGGCCTAAACCAATCAAAATTATTGCAGAAATTACTTCAATTTGCATCCAGGATTTGGAAAATAAGTCAACTCCATAAAAGTTAGAGTATTTTCTATTCCCTTACAGCAAAGACATAAAGAATAGCTCTCAGAAGAATTTGGGGAAAATGTTATTTCATTCTTAGCTCAGAGGAAGAGGTGAAGGGATGGACTACCAAAACCCCACTTTGAGATTTCTGCCAGAGCAGTCACACAATCCATCTTTCATTAATTCTAACAGGCTTGGGATCAAGACTTCACAGAGAGGAGAAAACTCAAGGGCCTAGTAACGCTGAACCTAAATTAGGTACAGTAGAGACTATTAAAACTCTCCTATTGCTAGCTGCTTTAACATTGATTTAATCTTCAGCGGCTTTGTATGCAAAAGACTCAAAATAGATGGTCTGTAATTAGCCTTCCCATCACTTCCAGCTCATTGCAGCAACAAGGAAGCACTTCCTCAGCTCCCAAAAACACCAAAACACCCAGGGTCGAGTGAACCTGGCACTACTTCAAGTTACAGACAAAAACCATACACTTGAGTGAAAAAAGGCGCAGGAAATCCCATGCAGGGTTTTGAAGAGCTGTCTGCTCACAGCCTTCCTGAAACCGGGCTGGGGGCTCTGTTACCGCCATGGCTCTAGAAACAGGTGGGGACCTCTACACCTAAAGACTGAGCCCAGCTGGGTCCAGGGCCCCACTGCAGCCCAAAGCCAAGGTGAGGGGCAGGGAGCCCAGGGGCCTGCTGAGCAGGATGGCAGCTGGCTGGCCCAGCCTGAATTGGTACCCAAGGACGGATGGTTCCAATACCTACCACATGTGCCCGAACACGCTCCTGAGCCAGCACACCAGCAACAAGCAGCATTATGCTAAAAACCAAGCACTACACATCCGCCTGTCCATCAAGTGATCGTGAAGTGATTTACAGCCAAGTAAAAACAGCAACAACAAAAAAGGGTTACTTTTTCCCCAACCAAATATAGACACGGGGTTGCAACTTTCATACACATTTAATGCTAGCCTTCGTCTGTGCACACAAGCAAATGACAGATCTGGGTTTTTTTCAGTTGTGGGAAAACAGTATCTTGCACTGCATTTAACATGCCAGAGCAATGAGCTCAACACCCTGCCCCACCTGTCATGCAGACTAGTATAGTACTGTTTCTCCTTTCTAACTTATTCTCTTGTTTCTTCTCCCCTTTTTGCATACTATAATGAGCAGTATGCCTGTACTTGCCTGATTTTGGAAAAATCACATAAGTCTCACAGTGTGTAGCAACAACTACAGAGACCACAAAAAGAATCTAGGCTTTTTCACCGTCACACTGTCTCCCCACACAGTTGTCACCTAGCCCTGGCTTATACATAAGCACTGCAACATGGTGGAAAATTCCCGGGCTTTTTATACCATGTCAGAGCTCTCCACAACTTCCAATGACAGGGGGAGCTGTGCTGACAGCAAGTGAGTGGCCAAAATTCCCCCAGGCACAGACACAATTATACTGGTGTTAAAAACCACTAATTACAGCCTGTCTTCAGGGTCACCACCACCATCCAAAACAAAACTCACTGAAAAATTTGCTTTGAAGAAGCAAACAGCCTCTGCTATTTCTTACTTGTATTATTTTGTTGTTATATGGTATGTTTAGAGGTAGTACAGGTCTTGCTTAAGAACTACAGCACTGCCCTTCTTGGAAGTCCTGTCTAGAGACAGCACAATGAGACCTTTGGCCATGCCAAAAATGCTAGTGAAAATTGGAAAGTAAATACACATCCACCATGGAACACAGCACTCACTGTAAAAGCTGCAAGGGACAAGGTGGGTCACTGCATCCAGGCACCATAACTCAGACAAGATATAATAACTACTTCAGAAAAAATGTGAGACCATTATAAGCAATATATGCATAAATTGCTAATGAAATGCATTCCTTGGCAGAAGGATTACAGATCTCTCAGTTTCCTTGCATTTACTGTTTAGCTCTAGTTTGGGGCAAGTCTGAGACGGAGGCAAATAATTCTGTCTTCTCAACCTCACATCTCAGATCAAAAGCTATTTCCTCTCAATCAGTACATAAGAACTCCCGCTCTCCTTCTACATAATGGATCGCATACTCCTCATTCAAATTTACTGGACTTCAGAAACACCTCTAGGGGAAGTACGTACAAAGAAGAGCAAGCTTATTATAGTCCACATAAACCTCTTAAAAGAAAAACCATCAGCTGATATCAAAAAGTTTGATAAGACTCCAAGCATAATTTCCTTTTGATGTTTACATGTTTGCATGCCAGTGCTTTGCATTTCATTATACTAGAAGGTGTATCTGACTACCTTAATGTGCATAGGGAACTGAAGATGAAGATTGTTAACAAACAATCCATCTAGCTTGTTATTAGCTAGTTCACTGGCAGTTGGAAAGAAAAGTGAGCCTCCCAGAAAAGTTTATTACAGCCTCCTTCAGCCTTCCAAAATTCTTACATTGAGGCATGTAAGTTGACAGGGACCAGTACCTGCTTCTCAAGCAGCTTTTGCAAGTAGCGCTGAGCTCCAAGTTGCCACAACTACAGCATTTGCTGTACATCAGCCAGCTTGCATGTATTTCATGACTAAATACACAGACAGTATTTACTCAAAAGAAGGTGACTGTGATAAGTATCTCCAGACACACTGAAGAAATGCCATTATCCACTACTTGAGGTCATTCAGGACTTAGACCACAATAACAGCCAAAGGTTGCAACCAGCCACACATACTACCTTGAGCACACAGGAACTAGCCCCAGCTTGAAAGCCACAGGGTTGTGGAAGTGTCAGTCATCATACTCTGCTGAAGCTGGTAAATTCAGTTGAGAAGTGTCAATTAGCAGAGGCACTGTCTATGGCTATAGACATAAAATTAATTGCATTGTACTGGCTAGGTCATTCAAGCATGGGAACACTGAACTATCTACCAACTGCAGCAGATAAAACTAAATTAACTGAATGACCACAACCTACAACCATACAGGCACCCCTTTCATTTTATGCAATAGGAACTACTTTGAGCATACTGGTATCTCACAGTATCACAACAGAGGTGGAAAATGACTGTTGCAGCACAGGAAGCCCAAAACCACAGCAGAAATTGAACACACATTGCTCCTGAGGTCCATCTCACATTTTTGACCACAGAATCACTCTTTCCTACAAAAATGGGAAGCTTGTATTTCTTGGTGCTGTTATTTACAGTCTGCCTAAACTGGAATGAATGTAAAAACAAGGTACCACTTGACTGTGTGTTTAGGCAGGTTAGAAACTTTGTTTTAAATACATGCTTAGGTGATGTAGAGCACAATAAAACTGACTGAGGCCTGGAGAATTTACTGAATACTTTACTGGACTGCCCCCAGAAACAAAGCAGACAGTAGTACACAGTAGGGTGATGTATTATAAATGCATCCTTTTCACAATATCTCTAGTGATTTTGCCCACAATTTCTTACTTCTAAGTGAGTTATCACAAGCCATTGATTCCTTACAAAGTTAACAAGCAATAAGACAAGTTAACCTGGTGCTATTATGAGGCAATAATGTTGCCATCAGTGCATGCAACCGCTGTACTTTGTTCATTTTTCCCTCAGGCACAATATAAAGAAGCCTGATCACATTTTTCAGCCACTATTCCACAATTAGACTGCATGTAAAATGCATAAACAGCAAAAGCATGCTGCAATTCAATTCTCTATTAATCTGGATGATGAAATAAAGAGACTTCCATTAAGACATTAACTTTTTAAAGACACAAATTAGAGAGAAACCAAGACTATTAGTATACTCAAACCTGAAGCTCAGTTCCCTTTTGACACATCAGTCTATGCCAATATATACTGATTTAAATATGTATTCTTACTTGAAGAGATCAAAAAAATCATCAAGATTTTCCTAAACCCATTACAAAAAAGTCACTGGCAGTTGCACTGTCAAGACACATGAAAAGCTTTTTTATGCTTCCCTTCTCAATCCTTCCCTGCTGTCTATATATGGTATGCTATCTCTGAACAGCAAATAAAACTGTGTAACTACACCCTATAGAGACTCTGAGGCAGTCAAAGTACAAAACAGCTACTTGTTTTAGATCTGTGAAGGACTTGAATTCTGGTCCTCCAGCAATGGAGCAAGAACATGACACATCCTTTAGTTTCCACAAATCCATCTTAATAAGCAGAAAGCACAGTGGCACTCACAAATGCTGTCAGGTTCTAGTTTTGATGGCATAATTCTTGTTTCAAACACACACAGACACACACACACGTGGCACACACAAAGCTCATTAGCTGAACAGCAACATGGAGCACGCAGCCTCTCACTGGCAGCCAGCTGAGCAGCTCCCTTGAAAAGCACTGGCGTTTTATGTAACTGAAAAGCCAGGAGGAAGTCACATCGTGTTCTCAGGCATGACGTTTTACAGATGCAATACATAAAAATACACCTTCCAATTCTGTCTTTGCAGCTACATATTGTATTGAAATGAAACCATATGCTAAACTGATGCATGCTAACCTGCACCAACAGATCCCAGTGTCCAGTCCTTCCTTCAGAGGGTGCACAAGGGAGGCCATTATGCACCAAAGGTTTCCTTTCATGAACCACACTTCCTATTTTACACACGCCAGTTGCTCAGAAGCTTCCTCATTAGCTCCCATCTACGGCCCTAAATCCCAGTGCCTTTTAAATTATCTACAATGCACTCACAATAATACTAGCAAATCATAATTTGGAGAAAATTAATGGTTAGAGAAATTAGCTCACAGTGAGTTTCAATTTTCTGTTTATATTCCCCAAATACACAAAAACATAAAAGGATTTAAGGTAGGAAGTAATCAGGGATACAGAGAGAAAAAAAGCCAACATAAAAACTGTGTTTCTATGCCTGCTGTGTTGAACATCACTATTCATGTACCAAACAGAAGTTTCTGCTGAACTTTAATGTTCATTGCCAAGGATGTAGCACAAATTATGCCTTTCTCGCATTTTTGCAAGCTGTCTTTGATTTCAGACACACAAAATCATAATTGCAAGAGAAACTACATTGTACGTTAAAGAAAAATATTTAAACTAAAATTCTGCTTTGACATTACAACACATTCCGTTTCATAAATATATCTAAATTATATTACAATATATTACAATAGGCTTGAAGATAATGATGATAAAGTGATAAAAGCACAATGGAAAGTCACGTACAAGAGATCCATAAGGAAATAGTTTCAACACAAAGTCCCACTTTTGTAACAGATACAATGATGCAATCGTTCAGATCAGAAGCAGTACAAATGACTACCTACCTCTTGGGACAGGAAGGGAATGACTTGTGCACATATAGCATTCAGCCTCTTGACAATTTCTGCCTGCAAGTCACAAGAAAAAAGAAGTTCAATTACATAAATTCTCAAATGCGACTGTCACCCATGAACCCTAAAGGGACATTTGTTTTCTTTCAACTCTGGCCACTCTCTGGTTCTCAAAATAACAAAACTGTTCGCACACGGATCCAAACGTACTTAGGAAGCTAGTAATTTCTGGCTAAAATATTTTTCTTAAAAACCACTATTTCAGACTGATACAAAGAGTAGTTAATTTTGATTACACAATCACAGGAATTTAAAGAACAGAATCTTCAGGAGATGTAACAAAAAAGATAAACAAAATTCATTGTATCAAACTGAACTCTCCTATGACGCAAAAGAAAGGATCACTTCAAATAAGAGCAATGCCATTGTAAGCAAAGGGAACAAATATGCCATTTACTTGTAACAGTGCATATCATGAGAACATTAACATTGCAATACACAATCTTACTGATAATCATTCTGCCTTGTATTTCAGAAAGGAATACTGCAGTCTTGTAGCACACGTCTGCCGTTATCTATTCTTCTGGTTAGTAGCAGTCACTTTCATGTGGCAACTGTAACCACAAATTAATAATACACGATGTTTTATTTTCATATCAGAGATCAATTCTCTGTATTTAATCTGAAAATCTCAATAGAGACAGAGGAGATCTGTTTAAATAACACAAGAACTACAGCTCCAGAAGAAGCCACACAGACTTTCCTACCATAAATCATAATTTTCTTACACTAAATTCTAACCAGGATCAGTTCCTCATTTTACGATCAGACAGAATGCTTTTCCTCTTGCAAAGTCACGAATCATGGGATGAAGACATACTAACAGGCAATTTAGCATTCCTTCTTCTAAAAGCAAACCTTCTAGCCTTTTTGCTACGCTGTCTTTTAAATGGCAAACACTCAGAGAAGAATCTGTAGATCAGAAAGGCTCACACGTAGCACTAAGAAGTTCATATAAAATAAATCTGGATTCAAGAAATATTAGAGTTAGAGAGCTATGTAACCAGCAGACATGGTTTGCAAGAGGTAAGAGCACATGTGAAACTAACTCTGCCCCCTTGTGCATACTGTGTGATACACACAACTTAATATATGCTATTTTGGAATACATTTTCTCCCTTTCTCTGAAATCCACCTGGAGTCCCATATGCTATTTATATAGCAATTTCTATGCTAAACTGTACTTTTATCTCCCCACTGGTCTTCACTGTTTATGTAAGGCCTCATATCAATAAATCTATGCATTTTAATGATTTTTTTTGTATTTGTTTACTACATCTTTTCTAAGCAGCATAGGTACCTTATAGATACTTTATACTATGTTCTGTTCAGCAAAAATCTAAGTTATCCACAAATTTCAAATACATCTATAATACCAGATATCCCACAAGGCAAAACTTAAATATTCTTTTAAACAGACAGCATTCACTGCACTGTTGACAAGGTAACTACTTGTTACACACAGCAGCACAGGGAGTGACAAGTTGTGTGCACCTAAGCTTCTGCCAGAAAGGCTGCACAATCCAATACAGCATTACTTGAATAACAGTATTTGATTAAGGAAATGTAGACTGTAATATAAGGCACAGCTGTAAAGTACCTGTTCTTAGTGGCTCAAGCACCATTAGTCTAGTTATTTCCGAATTTTGGGTTCCAGCCACACTGCTATTTTTTATAAGAAATCTCCTGAGTGCCCTAAAGCCGGAGAAAAAAAACTACACATTTTATTCTTTAAGGCTTTTCCACATGAGCAGAAAATTCCCCAATGCCCCTGTCTTGGCATAAGCTGAAGCCACTCTGACCTGCATTTAAAAAAAAAAAAAAAAAAAAAAAAGCACATCATGCTTCCTTCTGCTGCAAAACAACTCCTCCCCATCTTTAAAATGGCTGTCACAACCTTGCCCTGCACAGCTCGATGGGGGTAGCCTTTGGAAAACTCCTTTTCTACCACAGCTACATCAGCTAGATACCTTCACTGCACTGCTAAGGAACTGAGAACAAAACCAGCTTGAAGTGCCATGCAGGAGCTCAGTATCTAATTTTAAAAAGCTTGTAGATTCATAGATTTTAAGGCCAGAAGGGACTGTTACAATTGTCTTATTTGACCTCCTGGGTAACACAGGCTGTAAAACTTCACTGGCTTCCCCATCAAACCCGTAAATCACTGTTCAGCTAGAATATAGCTTAGTCAACAAAAATAATTTTATTCAATTCACTTTGAGGTATTTCTTCTCAAGTAAGGTACTCAACCATAGATATTTCAAGTTATTTCAGTTATGATGTTTTTCTTTTTATCACTTCTCTCCCCCCTCCCCAAAATAAGTATGCCTCTCTTCCACTGCTCTTCTGACCAAAATGTGGCTGAAATATATTTGCTCAGTATTTGTATCAAAATTCACCTCTGGCAGATTCCAAACCTGGGAAATATTCAACTAAAAAGAATTTCCTAAAAAGCTGTAAGTAACTGAAAGCAGGTGGCTGAATATGCACAGTTACACAACGGCAATAAATCTCTTGGTATCAATCCCACTGGAGCGCAGAACGAGTCCTTTCATGCTGTATTCAGGGAAGTGAGCTGATGGAGACAGCACCCAGCTCAGCCTACGGAGAAGAAAAATTGCTAAAACAGCTTCAAGTGATGTCAAAACATTCCTCAGCAGAGTTTCTCTGCTAGGCCAATCACAACAAAGCCAAAAAGCCCTTGTTATGCCAAAGTGTTTACATTTTTCCCTTATTAAAACAGTCTTCACTTTCCCTAACAAAAAGCTTCCCCAGTTGCACGGTTGTGCATACAGTTACCATCCTCCAAAATCAGGCAGCAAGGAAACAGCCCAGCTGAGCAGCAGCAGACTGCAGAGACACAGCATGACTGAGACACAGACTGCCTACCTTTGGAGACCACATGCAGTCTGAAGGCATAAAGGAAAACACTGTGTACACGCACAAATGATAGGAAGGTACACGTTCTGTACCAAGAAAAGTCTCCTACCAGACATTTTCACACGGTAAATATGAAGCACACTCTGTCTCAATACTTCCACTCTTTCGACAATTAACTGCAGGAGATAATGCCACAGCAATAGGCTTGATTGCCTTCCACAAAACATACAAGAGAAAGGAGTTAGCTGCCAGAAGCTAGTTGGGTGGGTTTCTTGAGATGCTGCCCTGAAGCTTGAAGGTGTAGGTACTGATGACATAGATTAGCATCTCAGTAGACCTATTCCCAGTACCCCTGGAGGAAGCCTGGAAACTCATTCTTCTTTGCCTAAGGTACAAACTCTGACACAAGGTAAAGCACAAATTCACATTTCTACTCCCACACATTTTTACAACCCTACATTTGAACAACAGCTTAGGATTTCTTTTTTCTGTTACACATCAGGTCAATGGGTTTTTCATGATCAATCTAACTGCCAGGAAAAGGAGAAAGTATGATTTCATAAAATCAGGCATCCAATTCCTCACACGGAAAGTCAAAGTTGCCTCGGAAACACGACTGCTTCCACAGTCATCTAATTTTACCTCTTTTGTCCCACAGGACCAGGCTTTAGAGAGGCTTCATTTATTTACAGGCCTTTCCACTGGGCTTCAGTTATCAGCCAGCAATGCTGTGGACACACACACTTCTAATGGCCTATGTTTTGAAACCAAGTCTAATCTGATGGAGCAGTGCCCAAACTCCTTTTCCAGCATAGCCATTAAAGGATGTAGGTTATTGCTGTTGTCACCATTGATATTTGTCATTGTAATGTAATTAGGGCCCTAAAATGATGCATTACAGCCCTTGGCACAGCTTCTATTAAAATCTTTTCTTCTGCTCACTGAACTGCGACCTGCTTTCTGATGAATAACAGACAGACAGCTTTAGGGTGAGGAACAGATTCATCAAAGTAGTATTTTCCAGCTCTGGAAATAAAATAAATAAATAAATGAGTACAAGGGCAACCTAAAAAGAAAAACACAAGGGAGGAATGAGGGGGAAGGAAAGCAAACAGCATACTTGAATTTCATCTGACCACTTGAAATTCTGATTGCATCTAATGAATCTTTCTTAGGACAATATATTCCTAGCCTGTGAATCACATGGTTAATCAGGGCTCTAATCTGCTATCCATCAACCTATGCCAGCACTGTAAATTCCAATTACATTTATAGGTTATGTGGGTCATGCATTCCCAAATAACTATATTCACGGATATCCCATGTAAACTGGCATGCTTTCTGAAATGCTGTTGTTAGTGTTACTGAATGTTACAATACTATTCAAAGCTTTATGAAAGCTCCTGATAAACAACTGCTAAATTATTGCCTGTGGTTACAGCGTGACGCTCTGAAATAGCATTAATGGCCCAATAAAAGGGCAACTGTTCATGCCAAAATATAAAAAAGATAGCTTTTGCTGCCACAGTTTGTCAAATCTTTTAACAAACACCGACACTTCTATTACTCCTTTTCCTGAACACAGAAGATGCTTGGTTTTGCATAAAAACACACCAGCATGGAACCAGAAAAGACGAAGGAAAGGCAGAAAGGAAACGCTTGTGCTCGAATCTCCTTTTTGCTTATGTAATGCAAGATTGTATTGTTTGCATCCTTTGGGAGACACTGTTTTAAAAATTTTGATCTCTTTTCATTGACACTTACATGGCACCATTTTAAAAAAAAAGAAAGATTAAATATTTATTAACTACAGTGTTAACTTTTTTCTTTTTTTCTGCATATAAAAGATGATAATAAAATCACTGTGCCAGAATCTGATCCCAGTTAAGTTATGAAGACCCATATCAATTAACAGCCCCCTCCCTCACCATTGTTGCAGGGATTCAACACAAGAACAAAACCTTAAGTTTCTGATTCAGACAGTGAAATCTTTTTGACCTGATGGTGAAACGGTACCTTATTTCCTAAATACAACCAAAAAACTGGCATCTCAAGTTCACAAATGCCTATAAAGCGTTCTGAAAAATGTTCAAAGGTAAGTCTGTAGATGAGACTAT